GATTTTCACTTATTGCGAGGTGGGTTGGCCCCAAACACCCGCAACAAACAAGGGACTACTGTACTGACTACATGTCTACAACTATTTTTTATAAGATGACCTTATTATAAAACATTTGCATAAAAGGCAGCTGATAAAATTGATTTCCTCAAGTTAGGCTTTTAATTTTATTTTAGACTGATGTGATAACAGGTTTACTTTAAAGAGTTTTGACCTTTTTCTTCCGGTCCAGCTTGTCATGGAGACCAAACACGTCACTGGTACTGGTATTGATGGTACTCGAGTTGAAATATGTTCATTGTCTTTACTCACTTTTTCTTTCCAGGTCAAGGTGAGCTGGTGCTCATCTTCAGTAGTCACTGGGAGAGAGGTGGCTACACTCTGCAGGTCACAAGTCCATCACAGAGACACATCAAGTGGCCATGACTCGGGGCCCAACAAAAGGAGGGGGTGCTCCAGACCACAAACACCCATCTGCTTTCTGTCCCATTGTCTCTTTGTCCTCCTACTCTGTCTCTTTGTCTCTTCAACAGTCTGTTGGTGTCCATCATCTCAGTTTCATACACAGCTGCTCTCACAAACACAAGACCTGCTTAGGGTTGGAGTTGTCTGGCATTTACCTGAGAGCCACACATTTACAGAATCAAACAATAACCCAAGACACAAAATTCTGATGGCACACATCCACTGAAACTTACTCATTCATGGAATCCCACTCACAGATTGAGACTCAAACATTTAGGGAGACTCACACTTTTACAAAGACTCATACGTTGATAGAGAGTCACACATTTACAGTGACTCACATCCAACCATTTTCATCCATCTATCTGAAGTCAGAGTCTCAGACATCCACACTTGAGTGACACTCTTAACTCCTTTTTATAAACTCTTTAACTTCTGAACCACCTAAAGGGAGTTCACTGATAGCTGCAGTGTACACAACAAACCTTTTGTTGGTTCTTTATTCTAAGTTATGGTTGGATAACCGAGGACATGCTGTGTCCTTAAACAACGCCCTCAATTTGCTGTAAATGCAAACATTTGATCAGAGCTGTCTGATTCTGCAATCAACTGGAAGACTCATTAAAATTGTGGTGATCTGATTTGGGCTGATCTGGTTTTCTCTGGTTCCAGCTTCGTTGGAGACAGGACACTCCAAAAACGCTGCTCTTATCAGAACAAATTTAACCACTTCACGCGAGTCGCTGTTGCTATAAACTGTTTTTTTCTGTTCCTTGAAGTTTTTAACTGTTCTCTTGTGGTTTTACACCTTTTGTGTTTTGAAATACGAAGGAACCAGTGACGAGGTGCTACATCATGCTTGAACTAAGCTAGCCGGTAGATTTCAACACAG